CTCTCTCCTAGGTGATTATATCACACTATTTCTATCTTAAACCTCCAATCTCTCCTCCCTCCTCCTCACTCTCAGCTGAAACCCTGCTTCATTTTCACAAGCTCCTGCCAGCAACCATATCTGCCTACCCACCTGCAACACTGGTTTGAAAAATCTGGCTGTAAAAGGAAGGTGAAAAGAACTAACTTTCTTATTTAAAGTAACGGGTAGAACTTTAGTTAATAGGGAAAATGTAATGCTAACGTTAGGAGCCTATAAAAAGAGAAGCAGAGAATACAGTCACAACCCAGAATAATCAACACCACGAGATTCCTCAGAAGGTTAAGAGGATGTGTTCAGCATCAGAGGTGAAGGACTTGGTAAGACCAGCCTTTGACAGGAGTAGACACAAGAGAGAACGATCTGTTCAGCAAGCCGGGGCAGTGCCTCTCTAAGTGCCTCTGTGGAATGGGAAACAAGCCATCAGCCAGGGAGCAGAGGAGCAAGGAGGGACCCAGAGATCTGGAGCCTGCAGAGGTTTGAAATAGTCAGTATGGAGAGTGGGAGGAACAAGGTAGGATTAGCAAGAGTTGACAGTAGAATCAGGGCTCGTGGTCATGAAATTACAGTGGCATTTGTGTGTTCCATTGTGTGAGTATAACTCTAGAAGCATCAGCAACTCAAGTAAGAGCATTAAAAGAGATAAATATCTTGATTCATCCAGGGTGGGAGTTTTACTAAACAAGTATAACCAATGAACAATGGGACAAGGGAGGGGTTTAGGAAATGGATAGAAGGCGGCCATGAAATCTACACTACACAAGGAACAAAGTGAAGGGTGTTGTTAACATATGGGGGGAAAGAAGAACAACTAATGGGCTGAGGATCCACATGAAGGCAAAGAACACATTTAGGAGACTTCTTGACTGGACTACCAATATGGAAGGATGCTGCAATAGAACTTCTGAAACATTATCTGAAATATCAGATAATGATTCTAAAAATTCTAAAATATGGCAAAGTCTAGAGCATCACCATAGATGTTGGTGGCATAAGTCAGAGACGGAGGAAATGAAGGATCTTACGATCAAGGGACTTGACTGTCCATTAAAAACTATGAAGTAACACAGGGTAACAGCAAGGCTTGAGGCAGAGAGGAAATAATGTGCTGAGGCCCATTATGGAGTGAGGAGAGGCACCAAGAAGAAAGCTGCTGAAAGTAATGAGTGGTGAGGGAGGTGCAGCTTTCCCAAGGCAGTAAAGGAGTAACGGTTCAGCAGACACATAGACACAGTGTTAGTAAGGACACTAACCCTGTCTCCCAGTGCATAGGATTTGAGTGATGGAGTCCTCTTCACTAAGTGGGCTCATACCCCATATGCGGGGGAAAGCCAAGTCTCAGTTAAAGCTTGAAGGAAAAGAAAATATTCACTGAAGATACTAAACATAGAGAAGGTTTGCACGTCGGAGAGTGAGAGTTACCTAAGGCAAAAATGAAAAGGGAATATTACGGAAATGAAAACATGACTGGAAACACAGTGAATTTCATTCCAGGATTCCATGAAGATGGTGGACTCTCAGGTCTTAAATTTTCATGGTGGCCTAAAAAGGTGGCCCCTGCAGGTATTGTTACAGTGAGCAAAACTTTCCTTTCCATCTATCCAGGTCAATAGGGGTTGGTAGCAGTGTTGGTTGTCTGCTGCTGAATGGAAGCTAGCTGGGATGGAACTGGGCTGGTGAGGTGTCAGGAGCAAAGGAAGACAAGCCACAAGGTGGTGAGCCTCACTGTAGGTAGTCCTAGGTGACCTCAGATGATTATGTGCAGGGTAGAGGCCTCAGTGTTCCTGAATTCAGTTCCTAACACACAGTATTGCAAATGAAAAGCCTGATGCTACTGACTCCCTTTCCATGGACAGCATGTCATGTTACCCTATCCACCAAGGTATGCAAGACGAGGCATGTTTCCTTTCATTATTTCCACCCAGCACTTTTATCTGAAGACCTGAGTGTGTTTTTTAATTCCAGTGACCTTTTTCAAAAGTATCACTTTTTTCATGGAACCCGAGAGTCTACACACACATTCCATGTTTCCAACTCCTTCTCTCATAAGTACCATCTGATTCTTTTTGGTTTCCATTCTAGTCTTTAAATCTACTGCTTTAGTTTCCAATTGCGTCTAATCTACCATTCCACGCTTTTAATGAATGCCTGATTTTCTGCAATCAAGTTTACGTCTAAGAATTCTGCTTTCATTCATTCATTCAACAAATATTTATTGAGCAACTACTATGTGCCAGGCACACAACTGCATTTTGATCCAGTATCCCCTAAAATCCAATTAAAAAAAATTAAGCTAGCTTGCTGCTTTTTCACACAAAAAGCAAAAACTTTTCAATATTTTTTATTAATACACTTAAAGATGTGGGATGTGTGACCAAAAAAGTTTGTACATGATATGAAACTAGGAAGGATGATACATACATTGGATGAAAGAAACAGAATCTTAAAAGCTCTTGGCAGCTTGGATGGGGAATTGAATCTAAAATGACAGATCAGTGGGGCCACGTGCTCTGAATTCTCCACATGGTCCTCGGTCAAGCTATTGATCCTCTTCTTAGGTCCAGTGACACTTGGCTATCCATTCACATTTGTAATTGAAGACCTAGACTGATTGGCATTGGCAGCTAGTGTGAGCTTTATCAGCAATGCTGCATAGGCTAATGTCTGATTAGCCCTGAAGATGCCCCCTCAATTATGTCGTGTAGTAGACCAGCAGGTAGCCCCCTACTTACAAAATCAAATACAAAGGGAAATTGTTTAGAGTGGGTTGTTTTCATTTTCTGTATCAAACTTTTAAATTTTTATGTAATCAAAACCATCAACTAATTCCTTTTAACTTTCACATGGAAGTTTATTATTGTGGATAAGAATGTGTCACACTGCCTGGTTTTGAATCCTAGCTTGTATTTTTCACTTACACACTTTCTTCGTCAAGTTATTTATTTCGCTTTCTTGTGCTTTAGTAAAATAGGGACAGTAATTCTATTTACTTTACAAGCTTGTCATGCACTGTATAACAGACACAAAGCCTTTACCCAGTGCTTGGCACACAGTAATTTTCAATAAATGTTTATTCTAGCACTAAAATGATATTAATAATAATATGATATGCTGATAAGCCGTATCTGCCTCATATCTTCCTCATTCTGTTTACTCAAGAGGAGTTTTCACCAGCAAAGCCACAGAGCCAACAATTCTTCTTCATACTGTATCCATACAGCTGGTTTGGGAACCCACTAATGGGATATTATTATCTGTTAACTATCATGTTAGATCCAACTCCTCATTCAACCAGTCACGAAATTTTTAAATGCTGTTTCTGTTCATCAAATGTATTATTATCCCTCCCAGTTTCATGCCATTGGCAAATTTTATGGGCATGCATCCCACCTCTTCAAATATGCTGATAAAAATGTTAAAAGGGGGCACACACCCTTTGGTGCACATCCTGATAGACCTGGCCAACCTCAGTCATTAATCAGTCATTAATCAATATATTCACACTGTTTTCAGACTGCTCTCTTAACATATTTCAAGCCCAAGGATTGGTTTAAAGGTTCCCCTTTTTAAAAATTAGAGTGATACATATGAGCCTGTCCCTAGCTTTCTGGAAACTCCCCTTCTATAGAATACTTCAAAGACCAGAGGGTCAACAATCTCAACTGGAAGATGTATCTGTTTAAATGAGGAACAATATGGGCTTAATCAGAGAAGGAGGGCACTTTCTTCAATTTCTTCTCCCACATATGGCATAGTTTGCTCACTAATATACTTTTCTGCATCTAAAGATTATTCTTCTTAACAGAGACAGAACCAAAAACACAAAGAGTGGATGATTCTTCATTCTCCATATCTAACAGCAATTTTTCACAGTCCTAGCCATTTCTTAGTATTCCTAAAGAATACTAAGAAATTGTATTGAACTCCAAAAAAAAATTATTAAATTTAATCTTTCTTTAAAAGCCTAAGATCATTTTTTAATTACAAAACTGTCCTTACCAACTTATGTCTGACACTATCCTAGTCTTGAAGTACTTCCTGTTTGCCCTGGAAGATCTGGTATATAGTAAGTATCCAAACAAAAACTAGAAGTAGGACATGGGTATTGTACTTTATTAATTCCCTCACACTATCCTTCAGACCTAATCACCAAAAAGGACTTGCCATGACCTGCAATTTGATGAAAAGTGGGTGCAGCACAGCCTGTTTTCTGAAGATTGTGGAATGATTTTATAAGAACCTTATGTTTTTATTAAAACTTATAGAATTTATTAATAAAAAATACATTAAAAAGGAGAGAGAGGGAGAGTTATTACAGAAGATTGGATTTTCACGTAGCACCAGGAACTCCCATGTTTAAATGAAGTCTTGTAGAGCAATAATATTAATTGCATTCAAAACCACTACATTCTGGTTTTTCAAAAATGTCCCTCCATAAATCATTGTGTCTAAAGCCAGGGTTCAAATGAATGACTCCTCAAATTTACATTCATTCTGATCCAAAGGAACACAATCAAAATCAACCAACTTAACACATGCGTTTTAACTTTTATTGTCACCTTTTACACGCTTTTAAATCACAAATAATACTTTATATAATCTTTCCCCAGTGAAGCATCCACCTTTCCTATTATTCTTCCTATTGGTTTTAAAACCTAATATAATGAGCTTCGGTTAGACTGGCTTGTGGTGGGAATCAAATGTATATGAAAACTAGATGCTTTTTAACATATAAATTTATGAGGTATTGTTTTAGAGCAACAAACAAACTTACCATACAGAAAATGGCTACGCTGTCTGTTTTAATCTTAAAAACTCACAATTTTTCTATAATAAACATTACTTTTTTATTAATTAAAAAATAAAATTAAAAACTTTTGTAGAATACACTGAGACATTAAAAAACACTAAATTACATTTAAGAAATTCTGAGCATTTAGTATTCAAATATTTCCAATTACCTTGAAGCATGCATCTGTAAGCAGATTCAGATATAGCATAGATGTGTGGAGGCATCTCATGACGCTTCTTCCCTCTGTACATTTCAATAATATTCTCAGAGTAAATTGGAAGATTCTTGTAAGGGTTTATAACTACACAGAAGAGTCCAGAATAAGTCTAGAATAAAAATAAAATAGAGTATTAAAAAAAAACCTCTGCATTTATCGGTCAGGGTCCAATGAGGAGACAGAAACCACACGGTCATTTAAGCAGATCTTTACCTTTTGGATAATTATAATCTATCCCCCAAATTAAACTTAGCCTATAATGGGCAATTTAGTACTATGAACCACAAGTAGTTCTCCCACAGATAGCTTATTAAGTGGCACTCTGCGGGACTCAATTTCCTCATCCACGAAGTAGAAATAATGTGAGCTTCCTGACTTCATGGGGCTATCATAGGGTACAATCAATATGTTATTTACTTTTTTACATTCATTCTCTCGTGAGTACACAAGATGTGAAAGCTCGTTAATGCAGTTTCAGATTCCACATTGCAATTAATCTTTAATATAATAGCATTTGTCCAGTTTGTGTACAGTATCAAAGAAGAATATCCACAATTACCTAAAAAGGGTATTAAAATACTCTTCTTGGCCGGCCATGGTGGCTCATGCCTGTAATCCCAGCACTTTGAGAGGCTGAGGTGGGTGGATCACAAGGTCAAGAGTTCAAGACCAGCCTGGCCAAGATGGTGAAATCCCGTCTCTACTAAAAATACAAAAATTAGCCAGGCACAGTGGCAGGCTCCTGTAATCCCAGCTACTCAGGAGGCTGAGGCAGGAGAATTGCCTGAACCCCGGGGGGCGGAGGTTGCAGTGAGCCTAGATCACGCCACTGCACTCCAGCCTAGGCGACAGACTGAGACTCCATCTCAAAAAACAAAAACAAAAACAAACCAAAAAAACACTCTTCTTTTTTTCCAACTAAATATCTCTATGGCTGGATTTTCTTCATATACTTTAACCAAAATAACATATTATTAAAAAAAAGAATGCAAAAGCAGATATGAGAGTCCAGCTAGTTTGGTTAATGCTAAAGAGATTTGCAAAAATGTAAGAGTTTTCATCCATCTAATTTTTTTTGTTTTGGAAAATACAGGGATTTTTTCTTAAAAATGTATTTATGTTAACTTGTCATGATTTACTACTATTCTTTTTCAATGAATTAATAAAGATTTTAAAATGTATTTTAATTACTAATACAGTAAATATCAACAAACATAAGCCAAATAAACAAAAGCTCTTCGGGATCTTCAGTAAATAAAAGCTGCCAGGCTAGAAGATACAAACTTTTCCTGATCCATACTGTAACCATTACATAGAATTGGCCCTATGAATGCTTATGACTTGCGGGTTTTTAAAATATAGACACAATGAGTTCTGAGAATATTCTACAAAACTGATTCTGGGCATTATGGAAAAACAAGAGCAGTCAGAACTCTAACAGATGCTCTAACCCTCTCAGGGACTGAAGGCATCTGGAAGGGCATTCAGTTGCATTACGAAACAGACCTTTTATTTAAGGTGATTTGGGTAGACCAAAATCTAAAAGCAAGAGGACATGAAAAAAGGGCTGGAGAATTGGTACTGCATGGCCAGCTTCCCCAGGGAACACTAAGGGGGGTTCTAACTAACAGCTGCGTTCATAAGAGCTGAAACCCCCAGCAATTGCCACCAGAAAGCCCTCCAGAGGCTACTCTGTTTACTAATGCTAAACCAAGAGAATGAAAGCCTGCCAAAAAATTTCAAGTGATCAAAACTGTCTCTCTGGCTGCCCTCCTTGTATTTTCCTGAACTCACAATTGCAGGCTCAGATGTAGAACGCACTTCCTACTTAGGTTAGTAGTGTAGAAGGGGCAAAGGGCCCCCATCCTAAATTCAGACTTGGGCTGTTTGCTGAAGCCTTACTACTGAGCAGACCAGGAGGTTATCTGTCCATTCTTTGCCTGAGGCTACATTATTACTATTGACTCCTCAAGTCTTCAGACTCTTCGACTTCTTGTATGCAAAGTGCAGACCTCTGCGAACCCTGGGTGGCCCTTGGGCTTCCCAGACCATAACCTTGCACTTTCTCCCAATCAAGTCTCTTGTCTAACTAGTCCTGTATATCTTTGCTGCCCACAGTACAAAAAGGCAATGAGGAACAGTAAAAATAGAGGCTTTATTAAGGGTGAGAAAAACAAAGGAGAGGCAACCTCAATACTTTTTTACTGAGTTTAATTTATATAAAGTTAACAAATCGCAACCATACATTGATGAATTTTTGTACACCCAAACCTCACTTTCTCATTCAAAAATTAGATTGCAGTCTATCATGAAGCTACAGATTATACTCTTCAATTTTATAACAGGCAAATAATTAGAGACGAGAAAAGAAAAAAGCTCCAAGAAAGCGAAAATACACAAATTCAGTTTAGTGTCCCATAGTATGTATGGGATGGTAACAGATCATAACTGACATGTTTAATCAGAAGTAATTCCAACATGTGTGTCTACCATGCGTTAGGCACTTTCCTGAGGACTAGAATAAGTGAGAATAAGTCTCACAAATATGAGTTAGTCATCAAAAATATAAAAGGTTAACTAATCATCAGTATCCCATGCTTGCCAAAATGCAGCAGTAATCAATGCTTAAGAAGGAACATTATTAAAGTGTTTAATAAACCTGACTTCTAACTACCTAAAAAGTTAGCTCAAGTCTTGAGCTCTTGTATAAACTGATCACTGAATTGATACTGCACCACTTCTATCTTCCCCCACGCACACGGTAGGAAGGTAATGTGTTGTTAAAACAATTATTCTGGAGACCTTAAAGTTCAAATGAACTTTACTAAGTATTTGAATACACGCACAAGATGCTAAGCTTCTTTATGAAACATACACTCTGGGTATGAAGACAAATAGATGCACACTAAACAAGCTACAATGGAAAGCACCAAAAAGAGAAAGAGAAAGATGAACAAGTATTATCAATAACGGAAAGCTCTGGGGCAGAACACAACAAACTCCAGGCACTGAAAGTCACGACCACCTTGTCAGAGACTGTAGAACGAAGTAAAAAATTCAGACCCAAATGGTCTTTGATGTTCTTTTTAAAGACTATGGGATCAAAAGAAGGGATAAAGGAATTCTTGTTAAAGTAGTAAAAGCACAAAACTCTTACAGTGGCAGGATATACTCGAGGCAGTGTGAGAAGACCAGCATAGCAAAAATAGTTTGTACCACGGAATGTGAGCGATAAGGGCCTAGAAAGACAAACTGAATAATTCAGATTTTGTCCTTCATGGGTGATGAGGTATTGAAGGTTCAGGAGAGAAAAGTGATTGGATGAAACAAGCATTTTAGACAAAGTATAAATGTGGCAGCCATATGGAGAACACATTGAAGGGGCAAAAGGTGAGAAGCAGGAAGACACGCGGAGACTGCTCAACTGTCCTGGCACAACAGGGCCTAGATGAGAGAAAAGGCAACACAAAATAGAGAAGGCTGGAGACTTCACAGTGCTCAGAAACTTTCAATACAGAAAAGCCATTAAAGACCTAAGTCAAAGAGGACTCCAAGGTCTCCAGGCCTTACAGAAACATTAATCATGGAAGGAAAAATAACTGATTTGTGGGAAAAGATAACGAATCCCTCTAACGTACTGACATTGTGGTGTGGTGGGTGAGCCAAGCAGGATGCCTCCTGGGCAGCTGGAAATATTGGATTGCCAGAGCCTTGGGAAAATCCTGAAGAGCTGCAAAGGCTTGAAATATAAGTTTGCGTAATAACACTACTGTATACTTTACCTAAGTGAGACATACAAAAATCTTTGCCGTTGGAAACATTTACAAATTTTCAAGCACACTATGCTGCTTTATGCCTCTAGGCTCCCACCCTATGCTGACCACTCTGCCTGGAATGCCTATCTTCCTCCGTCTAGGATTGGGAAATTTTACTCAGCCTGGAAGTGACAGGCCTCTGCTTAAGAAAGCAGGGCTATGTATATGCGTTGTTTCATAGTTCAAAGGATTAGAGAAACAGACAGTGGAGGCTGGTGTAAATGTCAACACAATGGAGCAGAGATACAACAGTCTCCTACTAGGAACAGGGATTGAACTGGGAATATCATATAACCCTACATCCCAACTGTAGCTCTCAGAAGAAATCAGACCACCATCCAGAAGGAAAGGGAGGGAGGAAAGAATAATTCACCCATACCACCTGCAAATACTGCACCTAGGTAAAATTCACAGGCAAATTTTGAAAAAAAACCTACATAATAAGGAAAAGATCATCATTCAGAGGATTCAGAAAGAAATTACCGGTGGAAATTATCTATAAAATAACTAAAAGAAAACTTTAGGAGATAGATTTATATCTGCAACAGAATATAGTATAACATAGAGTCTACATATTAGGACAGAGCTGCATCAGAAAAAAAATAGGTGACCAGGGCCAGAAAAGACTGTAAGGAATCATCTGGAAAAGTAAAATTAAAATCCACAGTGGAGAAAATAAAGAGCAGAATGGATACCTCAAGAAATCAAGTGATAAGAGCAGATATTTATTCTAGGAGAGCATCCTTCTTAAAGAAAAATAGAACAATGGTAAAATAATAAAAGAAAAGGATGTTACAAAGACAAAACTTATCAGTAATAATAAGACATAGAGGGCACAGGAAGGATAACTAACATTAGTTGCTATTGCTCCTTTGAGAGAAAATAGAGAAAAACTCTGTAAAAAACAAACAAAAAAACAACTTGAGAAAACTGTGTGTGTGTAAGGCATATACATTGAATCAAAAGGAATTCACTAAGATAATAAATGCAGAAGGAATTATGGCACTAGACTCACCATTTTGCAGCCCCCCAATACCACAGCAGATCTGGACAATGTCCATCACTATTAAAATCCTCAGGTGACTGGCAGATGACACCACTCCTAATGCACAAATCAGGCCGGCAAAACCTAAAATGACTCACTGCTGATCAATCTCAGCATCATAACGTGAGAGACAATGTGGCACTAAGTGTCTCCTGAATCTGAATCCGTTTAAGCCTCTGGATCCAATTTATGGATTTTTCTCCTTCCAGTTTATAGGAAGCACCACAGGATTGCAATCAACAAAGTCCA